CATCTATCATCAATTTCAACCTTTCAAATTCATAATGCAATAGAATAAACTTATCATTAATCCAAAGTACCAAAAATGATAAGTTTGAAATGGTGAAAGTTCAATCAACCAAAAAATCATTCAAAGACCAATTAAAATTGATGAAACATTGATAAATCAAGTCATGATCCAAAGTCAAAAAAAGTCCAGCAAAAATTAATCCAAAATATGATTAAAAAAGATTTTAAAATTGATTTAATATGGAAATTAAAAGGAAAATTCTAAAGAGGCATTAAAACATCAAATAAAATGCCAAACAATTTTGAGAAAGTCGGAAATATTTTAAATAATTGGATCTCAAAAGTTGGAGTGAAAAATGTTTCAAAATGCATGAAAACTAAAAAGAAAATAATTTTAAAAATAAAATTAAAAAAATGCTAAAAGTTATTTTAAAATTATGGAAAAAATATATGTGGTAGAAAATAATTTTTGTGATTTATGGGAGTAAAAAAAAAAATTAAAGGAGATATTTAAAATAAATTAGAAAAGAAAAAGAAATTAGAAATAAATTTAAACAAATAAAAGATATAAAAGAAGCAACAACTAGTTGTGTGGGGTGTGGTGATTGGTCAGAATTTGAATTCTCTCCCCAAAGCGCGCGAAGCTTGCATTATTTTCAACCTTTGGACAAATTTTGCAGGTTCATGAACTCTAAGTTTCAAGCTCAAACACGATATGATTAAGCTTCTACTCATGTCATTGTTCGTGTCTCTCTGTATTAGAGTCATTGATTGACTCTAAGCAGAGATAATATGTTTAAAAACACAGAAAACCCTAATGCTTCAAAGTAAAACTAAATGACATATTCGAAAAATAAATTCTAGATAAGTGAGGGCTTTGAGTATGTGATCAAGACGAAGAGTGTGGTAAATTGTTTGTTCATAAATTTAACTCGTATCTACCTTTCCAACTGAAGCTTCAAATGTCAACAGTGGTGAAATCAAGTTGAAGGTTGAAGGAGGTGGAAAGCTTATATAATGGTTCAATAATCTTCAAAAGATGCCGACGAGTGATTATGGGTAGATATTTGAAGTTAAAATGAGCTTAAAATGAAATGAGGGTTTCTGGTTTTTGAAGCTCTTCGGGAGTGAAAATGGTAGAGGTTTTGTGGCTATTCAAGCCTACCAATAAAGGCAAAATGGTCCTCTATTTATAAGAAATACAACGAGGTCATGATACGTACAAAATTAGATCTAAAACATGTGAACCAAGTTGGAATTTCTCGATTTGCAATCCGAGTGAGAAGAGGGATAAAATGCATGACTTTGGCACGAAAACAAGTCGTTTTGCATGCAACTCTACGTGTTTTGCAAGGACAAATGAGTGTGCACGTGTATTTATGGTCCCAAGTGAAGATTTGATTGATTTTGGATTACAGGTTGTGCGTAAAATGCAGAGTCCACGACACCATGTTGGAGCTTAGGCTAAATGAGATTCACTTGTGTATTTTGAAATGATCTTCGAGCCAAATGATCTCCTCATGATGAAGAATTAAATGCAAAAAGAATCACCTCAAAATGATGCTTGAGTTGAAAATGGCATGGATGACAGATTTAGGCCATGATCTAAATTCTAGGTCAGACAATAGGTTGAACCAAGTTTTGGACTAGCTCTCATGCACACATGAACATATTATCCAATTCCAAAATTAAAGTCCTTAGAGGCAAAATTGATGTTTAACCCTTGAAAAAAAGCTGTAGAGGGGTTCAAATGTGACATTTGGATCGAAGTAGATTCCAAAAATATTGATAAATGAGAGAGTTGTGATGTTTGGACCAAGTGACATGCCATACTTGATTTTAGGTCAACCAAATATGTACCAACTTGTGTTTTTTTTTTTGTTGAGATTTTCTTGCATCCAAATGCTCAATGATGAATATTTGAATACCAAATGAAGGAATCTTGATTGTCCCTTGAATAATCTTGATGATTACTTGAGAATGGGATGAATATGGCATGGAAATAAACACACGAACCATACTTAAATCAACTTTAAAATCATGCACCAAACTTGAACTTTTCTTGACCAAATGAAGTTGAATGAAGCTTGACATGAATATGACATAAGATTATAGGTCATGTATTAAAGTGAAAGCTCTTAAGAACAACTTGTTGATCAAACTTTGCCCTAGAGAACCAAAACCCTAATTTAGAAACCAATCTTGATCCTTTGATTGCAAACCCTACCTTGAACAATAAGAAAAGAGAGCAACCCATATTTTTTGTATTTTGAATAAGGTTAGCAAGCACGAAATATAAACAAGCATAAATCCAAAAGGAAACACAAAGGGTGCTTGATGATTTCCCATTAAGATTAAACCAAAGAGGCAAATGTTATGAGAGTGCCATGCTTGTGATCTTAGATTAGATGTAAATGATATAATATGTAGAATCTTAGGGGGTAAAAATTAGGGTATAACACATGTAAAAGTGAATTAATACTATTTTATAAACTTTTGAGCGTAATAGGTTTTATAGATAAAAACTCAATAAGAAATGATAAAAATCCAAGACAAAAAAGAAAGTGGTCCAAGGACTTGGAAGGCCAAAGTCAAACACAATTTGTTGGGCGAAAATTTTCTTGACCAGTTAATCAAAGACAAAAAAGATTGGTTTGCAAAGTAGAGAAAATTATATGAGAGAATTCATATTCGACCAGCAAAACAAACACCAAAAGTTTTAGTTCTAAAACAGAGAAAATTTATTGGACAAGTCATAGTTTCATCCAATGAATTTAATGTGTTTCAAGAGCCGTTTAAATATTACTTTGATACAAAGAAAACAAAGTGTATAGTTTGTTGAGAGATCTATTCTTCGCCTAGTAAACTTGGAAAGTTATAAATATGAGTCTCGTGTCATTGTTTAAGATATTTTTTATTTATAAAAATTAATTTAATTTTTCTCTTTTATAATATCAGTGAGATATAGCTAGAGTGAGATATAGCTAGAGTGTTTATCAAGTAGAAGGATACAATAAAGGATTGAGAGATTATCCAATATGGTTGTACTTCTATTCCTTTAATCCAACTACCATTGTTATTAGTAGTTAAGTTTTCTTTTATTGAGGTTATATTTGTATATTATTATGACTCATTAAAAGCTAAACTCTAAAAGATAAATTTATATTTTGTATTCACTTCTACAATTAAATCTTAATGCTATTGTATTATTTATTAGGCCAAAATATGATATTGTTGAATACACACTATAATTGATATCACATTGTTATTTTATATATGAATAACGCTGCTAATAATATGAGTTGACAATTTAAAGGAGCATAACTGATCATTATGTATGCATGTAGATTTAGGAGAAGCAATCTAACCATATCATTCTTTTATCATCATTATTCTTTTATTATAATTTGTTACTATTTTAATTTCTCAAACAACACATCTTTCAAAACCAAATTTTAAATTGCTTAAAATAGTAACACTTACCTCAACAATAAACAACTTTTAATTCTATCATATTTTGTTTAGACATCTCATTACATCTTGAAATTCCACTTATTATCTGATAATTATTCTAAATTGTTTAAAATAGTAATAATTACCTCAACAATATATTTTTTAATTCTATCATATTTTGTATAGACATCTCATTACTTCTTAAAATTCCACTTATTATGACAATTATTTTAAATCGTTTAAAATAGTAACAATTACTTATAAGATGAATCGTCACATTCATATTCTTTTTGATGCGAAGGAAAACTGAAACTTAAAAGAAATAACTATATAACAATGATCTTAGAAGAAGAAAATTCACATTCATATTTTTGAAGATGATAAAAATATATTCAAGAACTATAACAATTTAAAATTTATTGTTTTTTCTTTCAATTTTATCCTTACTATCTGAATTGAAAAAATTAAGCATTATTTAAACACATCTTTTAAGTCATTTTACAATTTTAAATCAATTCAACTACTAATTTTATTAATAATAACAAATTTAACCAATTAACTTATTTGCCATCACCCATTAACCAACTTATAAGCTATAAAAAACAATTCAACAACTATAAATTAATATATCAGCCATTTGTCATTTCTTTTATAGAAAAATCCATAATATATATCACATTAAAAAATAATGGATACGATTTTTACTTTTGACTTTTTCAAATTAAATTACATAAAATATTTTTAAGAATTTGACGCGTTCCGACACAGAATATTTAACATCAAAATTGTAATTATCGATAACAAACAAATCGAGTCAAACTGTTTCTTATTTTAGCAATGAAATTTACAAATATATTTATTATTTTCTTTTCATATATTGAATAAATACAATATTTTGTTTATTTATTTAATCTTTAAATAAATTTTTTCTTATTTATTTCATCATATTCAATGACATTTTGATAAGGTTGAATTTGAAAAGCATATAATTTTCAATTAATAAAAAAAATCATATAATTCATTTCAATTCATGAATAATATCATTAAAATTAAAAACCATGAGTAGAATTTCAACTCTCAATAAATTTTAGTCAAAAAAACCTTAAATTAAAAAAAAAATAAAAATATTAAAAATTGAGATAGTCTACATCAGAAACCCTCATCCAAAAGAACAAAGAATACAAAAAAAAACAGTAGGTACCTCCAAATATTTCTATGAACTAACACATCTTTGCCATGTCATCAATCCATGTGAAATTCTCCATAAGATAATATCAACCCTTAGATCATCATGATTCTATTGATTCCTAGCCGTTCATTCGCTTGTTCAGACAAACACAAGATATAACTTGGGAAAAAGAGGAGGAAACTTTTTTTAATATATTTATTTCTTTCCAATCTTTTAATACATTTATCTCCCTTTAAATTCAATCTGAGTTCTTGCATCAATCACTCACAATCTCATTTCTCATTACAAAATTTATATCTCTCTCAGAATTTTTTAGCTCAATTTTCAAGCTTTTTTCCCTCACTCTTTTGCAAGCTTCAATGGCAACAAGAGAGGTTAATAAGCCTCAGTCACTTCCTCCTTACCCTGAGGTAATTTCAACCCTAAATTTTACTTTTGTACTATTTATTTAGTAAAGTTGAAATTTTTTCACTGATCTGTTGAATCTTGCAATTTTCACTTACTTGGGTTTTATTTTCTCTCACCAAATTGTGTTCTTGAGCTATTTTTAGATTTGGGTTTTTGATGAATTTATGAGATTTTTGTTCCTTGCATGATTTTCAGAACATGGTAGCAATCTTGATGGAAAAAATTGATTTTTATGTGGATGGTTAACTTTAGAGTATTTTTGTTGTTGTAGATGATACTGAAGGCTCTTGATGCGTTGAATGAAGCAAACGGGTCAAACAAATCAGCGATAGCAAACAACATAGAGTCGATTTACGGTGAACTACCAGAAGGCCATGCAGTTCTTCTTAGCTATCATCTGAACCAGATGAAAGAGAGTGGTGAGCTAGTTTTTGCAAAGAACAACTACTCAAGGCCTGATCCAAGTGCTCCACCCAAGAGAGGACGTGGTAGGCCTCCAAAGGCGAAGGATCCACTGGCCTCACCACCTTCATCTGTTGTGTCCCCACCGAGGCCAAGGGGTCGTCCACCTAAGGATCCTAATGCAGGACCGAAGACTCCCAAGACTTCTGGAAGTGGTAGGCCAAGGGGCAGGCCGAAGAAGATTGCGAGGACTGAGGATGCTGATGTTTCAACTCCAAGTCCTGTTAGTGTTGCTGCTGTGAATGTTGATGTTGTTGTGCCATGTGTTGCTGCTGTTCCTACTTCGAGTGGGAGACCAAGGGGTAGGCCTCCTAAGGTGAAGCCTCAGTTGACACAAGTGAGTGTGTCGTAGATGATGTGGGAAGCTGAAAGATGGAGGAATGATGGTGTGTAGAACTAGAAGAGGGTGTGGTTTTATATTAGTTTATTGTTACTGTTATGTGTTGTGTCGTTAATATAATTGCTTTGTAAAATTTATCTAGTGGTAGTTTAGTTTATGAGATGGTTTGTTGGTGTTTCTAATGTCAATGAAGACAGTTACTTTGGTCTGATATGATCTTGGCTTGTTTTGTTCTCGTTTTATAACTTTTATGTCATTCCTAGCTATGTGGTAGTAGGGCTAAGCAACACTGAAAGGGATCGACTAATTACTTTGATAGCCAAATAGTAGCAACCACAGATTCACAATAGATGTAATTGGTATTGGGATACATTTTTGATAAGCTAGCTAGTCTATAGTCACATGACTTTGGATAAACAAATGCCTTGCATCCAAGCATTTTTAGAAATTTTGGTACACTTTTTGGGCCCTCAAATGCCTAATTTTCTGCCAAATCTTTTTACTCTCTCTTGATAAACAACAACTTTGAAACCATGTAAGAGTGATTCCAAAGCAAATACCACTAACCGCTAATAATTCCTTCTTTAGTAGTGGAATAAGTGACTTGATTTTCATTATAGACCTTCCTAGTGTGGTGTATAGCATGGAAGAATTTGTTATGTTGTTGGCCAAGCACCACTCAAACCGCGAAGACAATTTCAAATTAGGAGCAATGATCATCGCTGTGGTGACCAACTTTTCTTTTTAGAAAAAGAATTTAAACATTCATTGTCAAACAAAAAATCAGGTTTAACAATCTTTGAGGAGTATTTGTTGAAACGTTGGTAAAAATCAGGGTGACCTAAGAAAACTTATCAATCCTTATTTTTGTATCACTTCAATTTTTTGTTTGATCCACCTCAATTTCTTTTAAAGAGATTTTATGTCATAACACAATTTCTTCAACTACCATAAAATGACATTTTCCTTTCCCCCAATTAATAATATGGGTTAATGCATCTTTTAAAACAATAATTAAATGATCAAAACAAATATTAAATATTTTACTAAAGACAGAAAAATAACAATTTGACTATAACTAGAATACCATCAAGAAAAATAATAATAGGCTTCCCCTTCCACCCTCTCCAACATCTTATTTAGGAGTGGCAAACAGGCAAGCCCGCCCTGCAAAAGTCTGCAAAAAAACAGGGTAGAGCGGGACAGACTTAGTTGAGAAAAAATTAGAAATTTCGACTACACGAGATTTAGTTAAATTAATACATTTTTGATGATGTGATTCGATGGAAAGAATAAAAGAGCCCATGAGAAAACTTTGATAAGTGAAGAGCTAAAACTGAAGCTTTAATTTTGTTAAGTGTTGGTGAAAGATCCGTATACAGACCATAGTGATATCAAGTTTATTCGAAGTATCAACGAGCATGCTTCGACCGTCACGTTCTGGCGTTTCGAAGATAAGGAGTTTCAAATTCAAAAAGATTAATCTTATCCAAAGAGACGCGTGGAAGCTTGGAGTTCGAAGATACATGCAATTGTTGAACGTGGCGTCATATTATTTAGAGACCATTTGGTCGAAATTAGTATACATAGAGGTCTTAGTGTTAAGATTCAGTGTGTTCACATCTTTTGTACAAATACTCAAATCACTCAAAGTATCGGCGTTAAGAGAAAAGAGTTTGTGAGAATGTACGTATGATGCATCATTTTTACATTTATAATCATTTGATTTTATTTGAAGTTTTATACATTCCATTTAAATTCCAGTCGAAAATCGTTTACATTTCAGTCTTATCTTTAAAATATTACGTTACTGTCTACGAAATAATAATTGAAATAACATTTATCTAAAATAATGAAGATGTTGTTGAAAATACTCTTTGTTATAAGAAATAAACATTAAATAAGAACACATGTACTCAGGATCAATCTGATCGATCCTGCAAGTTACTATTTCTACAAAGATTTGGAAGATGAGCGGTTGTTTACCAAATTCCACGGTAAACAAATTGGCACACTCGGTGGAACTTTGTGTTTAATTTCTTGTTTTTCTGTTCAAGTCTAAAAATTTCTTTGAAATTCTTCATTATCTTCTTGTATTTCTCCGTGTTGTATGAAACTTAAGCGTGGTAAATTAGCCACAAACAACAAGGAAATACCCAAAAGAAAATACGTTAGGAGAATGACGAATCAAGGCCAGACAGGAAAGCACAATCCTCCTAACAATGATGAAGTTCCACCCCAATCACTTCGACAAGGGGAAATACGATTGATGCGCATTCTGCTGAGGCCATACCGTCTTTAACAAGTTCGACGCCAACATAGTAGAATACTTACACGGACCCTCTATTAACTTACATAGGCCCACAAGGTTCACAAGGAACCCCCCTCTAAGGGGGAGTATTTTTCACAAGCCTCAGGGGCACCTGGTTTTTCCATGCCTCAGAATGATCGTGGACGGCCTTATGTCATGCCATCTTCATTTATGATGGGGTTACATAATTCTACTTCAATATATTCATCTCATGTGATGAATGTGACTTTGCTATTACAAGGTTCTGGATCTGTGGTTAATAATAGGGGTCAAAATATCCAACCACCAATCAAATGAGTTTCATCCCAAATACCAAACTTAACAAATCAAATTGCAAGAGTAATTAGGCAACAAATGGACGAGAGTAATCATGAAATAGTCCAAATGCTTGCACAAATTATGGGTACAATCTTCAACCTTTTGATTCAGAACACCACTCAAGCGAACCAACAGATGACGACGCAAATGATGCGCATCACTGACATTTTTGGTGTACCCCGACCAAAAACACATCCTCAGAGGGAGTGGGTTCAGGAAAACCTAGGATTAGTATTGGAAGATGACCCAACAATTAACCAATTTCAACAAAATCAAAGAAATCCACCTCTGGCAAATATGATGAATCAAGAAGGGGTAGTCGAAGTACCTTGGGTTGCGAATAACGAAATACTTAGGGCTGAACCTTTTAGGTAGGAACCACATATTCTTAGGCAACAAAAACCTAGAGTTATGATGGTAAATAGAAACCAAAATGTTGATGAAGTTTTATATCAAGTTTGACAAAATAACATAGTAGCAAATAACAATCTGGAAGCCATGGTCGAAAGGATTATGGCACGAAATGATGTGCATGTAGGCCTTACTAGGCCAAATTATACTTCTCCCTTATCTGAATACATTTTACAAACTGAATTGCCTAGGGGTTGGAAAGTCCCAAAGTTCACAAAATTCTATGGTGATACTAGCGAATCAACTTCGAACATATAGCCAAGTATCTTACCGAGGCTGGGGACATAGCAAACAATGAGAACCTAAGGATACAATATTTTCTTAGTTCACTAAACAAAAATGCTTTTACATGGTTTACTACCATTGCAACATGTTCTATCCATGGTTGGGTGCATTTAGAAAGAATGTTCCATGAACAATTCTATGTAGGTCAGTCAAAGATAAGTCTCAGCGAATTGGCCAACATTAAGCACAAGTTTAATGAGCCAATTGATGATTAACTAAACAGATTCCGCCTGTTAAAAGCAAGATTTTCCACCCAGGTAACTGAGCATGAATTTGTTGAAATGGCCATGAGAGGATTAGATTTCTCCATCATAAAGAAATTGGATCCCCATTACTTAAGGGATATGGCCCAATTGGCAGATAGGGTTCGACAAGTGGAACGCTTAAAAATCGAAAAGGATAGAGCAAACAAGAACCATAGGAAAGAAAGAGTTACTTATGTAGAAACAACCATAGACGAACAAGAAATGTGTGCCGAAGCCTCAGACTTTGAAGAGGTCGAAGTTGATTTGGCTGAGTTGAAACAAGGACCACCATATCCTTATAAAGTCTTGGCTCCTTCTAATGGAAAAAAATTCGGTCGAACATGACAAGAGGGATAAATTACCTAAAAGAACTTATACTTTCGACGTCACAAAATGTGACGAAATATTCAACTTAATAGTAAAAGATGGTCAAATGATAGTACCACCTTGTGCTAAAATTCCTCCGTTAGGTCAAAGGAAGAAGAGAGGTTTTTGTAAATATCATAATTTTTAGGCCATAAAACCTCACAATGTTTCTTTTCCAGGGATCTAATTCAAAATGCCATCAAAGAAGGAAGGCTGAAGTTTGGTGACAAAGCCAAGCCACATATGAAGGTAGATGCTGATCCTCTAAACGTGGCAGAAACAAAGTATGCCGAACCGGTTTCTATCAACATGGTGGGGATCATTGACAAAGTTGATCCAAACCCGAAGGCAACAAAAGCTACTGAAGGCCTCTGCAACAAACAATATGTCAACTAGGCTACTAAAGGCCTAGTGAACTAGAAATTCAAAGACAACGTTACTGAGAATGTTGTTTCAAATGCTGCAATGTTGGAGACCACTAAAGGTCTCATGGTTAAGTTTGAGAAGATTAGGATTATTGATGGTCCTAATGTTGAAGTCAACATGGTAGACCTAAACCAGCCAGCCCCAGAGATGGAATAAGTCGAAAGACGTCTCCAGAGAGAAGATTTATGCAAAATTTGGAGAAATTATGCTGGACTATTTGGCTCGTTGTCACAAAAATAACTTCGAGGGATTGATGTGCCTAAGATGCAGTATCATTTATGATCAAAAATCAACATAGGTTTCTCAGCAAACCCAACAGAGTCGAAATGGGAGCAGCTGGAGGAAAGATGTTCTGATGGAGATGGTTTACCCAAAAGCTGGAGAAAACTTGCTAGGTGTTCTTATCCATTGCCATAAAATGCAATCAGAATGCTTAATGTGTTCTAGATGCAGTGCTGTCTAGGATCGAAAGGCTTCAGAACAATATTAACGAGTCCATTATGCCAGAACCACATTTCGTTGGAGAAGTTAGCATACCAGTTTTACTTTTGACAAGAGAGGAGTTCAAAGAAGAGGTGATATCCCATATCCTAAAGAAAATGGAAGGGTGTAATACGGTGGGAGAACTGACTTTTGGTTTTGCATTTTAT